ATGTACAAGAAATTTCTTTTCTAAATAAAATTGTTTCAATTTGACAAAAAAGAACCAAGAAAATCAGTAAACATATGACTAGTTTTCCCAACGGCTCCCCTTCAAATGATTTTAGTATGTGACCGAACCGATTTTCGATCGAGTTCTTGATTTTTTCTTTTGAATCTTGGTCCTATCCGATTTTGAAAACAGATAATTATACATATACACTGCTACTCCTAACAATCAGTCTACAATGACATTAGGAATACTCTACCTTGAATTTCTATCATTGATGTTAAATTCTTTTTTGATCCTATTATTTAAAATTTATTTTTTTCAAGGGTTAAACCAAACGGACAGGCCCTGGACGTTTTTTCAAGGGTTAAACCAAATGGGCAGGGCCTGGACGTCCAGGGCCCTGTCCTCCAAGAATCTTCCATTTTTCAAACTCATTTTCAATCATATATTTAATAGAAATCAAAAATTTTTTAACCTCATATTTCATCAATTTTTAACGAAATTTACTAAAAAATAACTAAACAAACATGGGCCAAATTCCATTAGTCCGACTTAATTATTTTTCGTTTGAAAAAGGGGAAGAAAACAATGTTTTGGATTCAATTTTGCACTTCAGAAACACCTTAACTTAAAGATTACGTTTCATGATGGAGCACATATAAATTTAATAAATTAAATATTAATGATATTCTACTAATTTAATCAACAATGGACATTACATCAATCAACGAAAGTTACATTACATTAATTATAAACTAAATTCATTGTACCTACCTAAATAATAAAATTAATTTTGTTAATTTTTATTATTCCTTAATCAAATGATTGAATGTATTAGTTTAAAAAAATGCTATTTAAATTAATAACAATTTCTCTTGTACTTCCTACACATTACTTGAGAATTAGCCAGTGACTTCTCATCTGAAATGTGTTCAAAATTCAAACATGAGAGATTAAATTGTGAATATATCAAGAAATATTTTCGGAATTTATTGAGTGCAAAGAAGCAATTTGAGCATCAACATTGCTTCATAAATTCTTGCTAAAATTGAGAATTCAACCACAGAATTTTTAAATTAATAAAGAAAAATTAAAAGTGAGATCTAGCTAGATTTAAAATTGAAGAACCGAGAAATTTTTAACATTGGATCAAGTCGAAATTGATATAATTTAAAAGAAAAAAAAATATATGTGGGGGTAAAAATGAGAATGGACAATATGAATAAGAAGAAGAAGAAGATTTTTCTTTTCTTTTTTTAATTTTATAAGTTAATTTATTTGGGACTTATTTGTATTTTTTTGAAAAAAATGGGAATTTGATTGCAATTTGTTCTTTATTTATTTATTTATTTTTTAAATTTAAATGGGAGTATACATTTGTCGTTTTACAAATATTTGGAACAATAGGGAGCAAACACGAAGCAATTAGTTAACGTGGCACATCACTTTTGCTGTTCAAATTATTTATACCGAACACATTTTGATTCTTCAGATTTCAGATAGAGCTGTACAATACTTGCCGGCCGGCTGGCAGCATTGACAGAAATGGTGATGAGTAATCCGCCGGAGAAAGACAGAGATCGGAAAATGTTGATGGGTGCTGTCTGGAACTGTGTGGCGGAGTTCAAGCTCTTCCTCACTGCACTCTTCTTCCTATGCTCTCTCGTCACCGTCTTCCAGTTTCTCTCCTCCCGCTTCTCCGTCTTCCCCTCCGACCTTCGCCACTGTCTCGCCGGTACTCTCACTGGTAATATCACAACATCCTCGTCGGTGCTACCAGATTTGCCATCGGCTGTTCAACTTCTGCAGCAGCGGCAGAAACAACAAGACCAATTGTTGGAAAATGGTGTCATCAAGCGGGCTTTCAATTCCTATGGCTCAGCTGCGTATAATTTCATTCTGATGTCGGCTTACAGAGGTGGCGCCAACACTTTCGCGGCTGTTGGGTTATCTTCAAAGCCTCTACATGTCTTCGGCAAGCCGAGCTACCAATGCCAGTGGATCCCACACGAGAATCCCGATTCCACCGTCATCACCCCCGGACAGAAGATCCTCCCTGACTGGGGCTACGGCCGCGTCTACACCGTCGTCGTTGTGAACTGCACTTTCCCGACCCCAACTGGCGGTAAGGGTGGCAAGCTGCTAATCCACGCAACCACCAACGGCGGCGGTGACAGTAACTTCAACATCACCGACTCTATTGTCGTCCTAGACGAAATCCCCGAAGAATTTGCGAATTTCACCTTGCAATTCAACTCGCAGCCAAAGTACGATTATCTGTATTGTGGGTCGTCTCTGTACGGGAACTTGAGTCCTCAGAGAGTACGAGAGTGGCTGGCTTATCACGTCAAATTACTCGGAAGCAAGTCCCATTTTGTTATACACGACGCCGGCGGCGTACACTACGCTTTAATGGAAGTGCTAAAGCCATGGATGGAGAAAGGATTCGTGACATTGCAAGATGTCAGGGAGCAGGAGAGATTTGATGGGTACTATCACAATCAGTTCCTCATAGTAAATGATTGCTTGCATAGGTACAGATTTGCAGCCAAATGGATGCTGTTCTTTGATGTGGATGAATTCATTTTCATGCCTAAGAACGGGACCATCCAATCGGTATTCGATTCGCTCTCTGATTTTACCCAATTCACCATCGAGCAAATGGCGATGTCCAACAAGCTCTGCCTCTCCCAGGATGCTGGTTCAGCTATCAGGTAATCCCAATAGCCTTATCTCTCAATTACCCCGTCTTTTCGATGTTCAGATTATGCATTCATAAAACGAATAATTGATCCAGAATCATTGCCAAATGGTCGTAGGTTTCAGTTTCCGCATAAGCTAGTCCATATTTAGTGTCTGAAGTTAATTTGGGAATGCTTGATTGGATTCTTGTTCCTAAAGAATTTCGAAGACTTAATAATTTCATTGAGTACATACAAAGTACATATACATAATTGTTCTTGATACTGGTATTGAATTCGTACTAATTACAGCACAGCTTGTTGTATTTACATGTTTAATAAGGTAATTTGCGTCTGCCGTAACTAGTTAAAGTAGCTTTCACGCAAGGTACATTATATTCTCTTGTATAAAATGTGTTGTTTTTGCTTCAAGTTATCAAGTGGCCTATATATGCCAATTCCGACTTCTCTTGTTTTGATCTGTCTTTTCCTCTATTCGTTTCTCACAGTCTAACCAAGTGGAAGTTAGGTGGGGTTAGAACAATTCTTGCGTTTATGATTAGTACCATGTTCCTTAAATTGTTCGAGTGATTGTCATACATTTAAGAAACTCTGTGCGTGGAATTAGAATTTCATTTTGGTTCCTAGTTATTGTAATGGTGCTTAGCTATCGTCCTTCTCAAGTTGGTTGTAAGTTATAACCCATGATTTGGGCGAGGAAGTTTTTGATCGAAGATATTGTATTTATCTAGGCGCGAGTGAAAGGACCAAACCCAATCATTCGGTTCTGCCTCTACAAGGGCTATTTCCTCCTCCATCGTCTTTGGTCCTTCTTTCTCTAATGATCCTCCACTTTCCAATAGTTGTAGTTTGCAAGGATGCCTAAGGGACTATCCTTTCTATTGCTCGCCGTTGCTTTTCACTCTCAAAGGGTCACTCTCTTCAATAAAGCAAATCAGAGCTTTGGTGGGGGAACGTTGTTTTTAAGATTCTAGATATCTTTTTCTTGATGACTGTATTCATTTAGCCTTGGGAATAATGTTGAGACCATAGATTTGAAGATCACATGGAAAAATCGAACTTGTTTTGGGGGGCTTCAATACTTAATACATGTATATGGTCATTGAAAGAATGTGAAATGGTTGATGACAACGTACGTGTTTTCCTTTCGCAGAAAATGGGGATTCGAGAAGCTGGTATACAGGGACGTAAAGAGAGGCATTCATAGGGATCGGAAATACGCAGTGCAACCACGGAATGTATTTGCAGCCGGGGTGCACTTGTCGCAGAACTTAATAGGCAAGACAACATACAAGACAGAGGGACATATAAAGTACTTCCATTATCATGGAACCGTTGCCGAACGCCGCGAACCATGCCGGCAGCTCGTGAATTCGACACAAGTCACAGTCGATGGGATTCCATACATTCTCGACACAACTATGCGCGATATTGCTGGAATTGTGAAGAGATTCGAACTCAAAATGATTGGCTCTATATTACAAAGAACGCGGCAATAATTAATGAAATTTTTATTTCAATCGACACCTGAAGCTGTGACTGTGAAGGCATTATTTTATTTATTTATTTATTTTTGTATAATATAACTAGACATTTTTTTTTTCATTTTTCTTTTATTATTTGATACATGGATACAGATACAGGCCTTACAGATTTTAGGTGTAAAGAACATTGCATGTTTGATTCGTTTCATTTGTTTAATAACTGTTGGGATGATTGATTGATTGATGATTATGTTCATGTTTGGCCACAATTTTTTTAAAAAAAAATAATTAATTAATTTTTAACCACTAAAATTTATAATTTTTATTAACTTTTTATTCATATATTTCATTATTCATATCAATTATTCATATTTTGATGGAGTCCACATAACTTTTACAACATTAGCGTTTTCATTTTGAATACATTTTAAAAAATAATTATGCTAAACTCTTTAAAAACCGTTGGAAACTATAAAACTTAGGAAACTTTGTCTAAAAATTGTAAATTAAGGGATTTGACTTAAAAGTAACATAATTGTGAAATTTGATTATTGCAATAAAAGAATTGACATCTAGATTTTAACATAAATAAAATTTTATGAATTATTTGTGCAGGCCGTCCACAATTTCAATTTCATTGTCCCGTTCAAGAATCATCAATCAATTGCAAAACAATTAGGTTTTAAAATTTATATTACCAATTCATTTGAAGAATCTATATTATTCAAAAATATTTCGAATCAGGAAACCCCTGTGCAATCGCTAGGGGTGTTGAAATTGTTACATGCAATTCTAAAGTCAGACCGTTGCGATTCAATGGTTTATGCCATATGATTGCATCGTGTTTTCTACTAGAAAAGATTTTCTTTTATTCAATAGCGTCTTAAAAAGCAATTAGGACATCAATTTTGACCTAATTTTTGGAACATCTTCAGCTACAATCCAAGGAAGAGAGCTCTAGGAGGGTCTTGGGGGTAGAAAATATATTTCTTGCAAAGAAGAAGCCTAATGAGGAAGCTTATGATACTACAAATTCATATTTCTTTCAAGTTTTATGGTATCTTTGATACAAAACATACTTATACTTTCATACATTAATTGTTAAACAAGAAGATACAAGGGAGTTTGTGTTGGGTGTATGACTATATAGTATATTTTTCTATGATAAAATAATAATTTATAATAAATTAATTATGGTTTTATTTATTTTTTGTATTTATTTATTATTGTGCATATGAATTAAAATACTTATGATCATTTGTGATAATATAAGTTGGGTACTGGCGTTGAGAAGTATAGTGTGACCCAACTTATATTTTGCTCATAAATAATTTGTTCATAATTAATGTATAAGGGCTGACACTTTGTACCAGAGGATTGTAATGTTGATCGATTCACTATTCATATTCGTGATTTATCCTTAACACATAAATGGTTAAAAATGACACTAGTACACTTAGAGTGTATTGAACGGACCACGTGTCGAGTTTAATTGTGCGGAGAATTAAATTCTACATGACCATTGTGTATTTTATCTAAATCTCTTGACAAGGTTATGTATGTCTTTTCGTGATTTTAATGATTATTTGATTCATTAATGGGTTAGATCAATTAGATCGGTCAAATACATCGATAAGTTGGGAATTTAAGAATGAACGAATTAGAGAACATGAATTTGTGTCCGAATTCGTCTCCCTAAAAATTAAGTTGAGCGACTGCTTAAATATTTTTTGTCGAACGGTTAAAATTTGAGTTCACTGTTTAACGAATGCTAAATTTCAACATCTGTAATTAGTTCTTAGGACTATTAAAGAAAACATTATTTAAGTTAGTGAGAATAATTGAAAGTGCAAAATGGTCATTTGTGCTCATACCTAATTTTCGAATTTTGGACGAGGATAAAATGCGTATACAACAGGCCAGGGAAGGTTTTATAGATTTATTGTTTTTTATGATTTTATGAGCCTGTTTGAGAGTGATTTTGAGAATTGATTTTTTGACCGTTAGGAGAAAAGTGGGGTCCATCTGTGAGAAAAGAAGTCAAATATGACGGCTGGAATAGTAAAATAACGGTCAAAAAATCAATTTTTTTGGTGAAAAAATGGGGCCCAAACAGGCTCTATATATTTTGAGTGTTAAGTTTTTTTAACTTTTGTTTTTTATAATAAAGAAGAAGAAGAAGCAAAGTCTAATAATTAGATTGGGTAGTCTATGGTCGACTCGACATGACCTAATTATTGGAGCTTGAATAATATATGTTCGACCAGGTCCTTGTGGTAGTTGTATAAAGTAATTAGACATAATTATGACAATTATAACAATTTTGGGCTTAATTATAATTACAATAAAGTTTTGTACTTAGTTGTAATTGATATAAAAAGTTGTAAAATTAATTATAATTGTAATTGAAGTTCTAGTATTACACATATAATTAATGTAAACTAATTGAATGTGAACTTTAATTAAAACTTTTTTAGATTTTAATTAAAACTCCTATTGGAATGTGAAATTATTATTGTATAAAGACTTGAATTATCCTATTTCGATAAATAGAGACTAGATAGAACCTAGAAATCCTACAATAGTCATAATACATAATTCCATAGTGTTCAACTTTGGAAAGAGAAAATAATTATTTTCTTACTTTATTTAATTGTCCAGTCTAAAAATCTTGCTTTAATTGAAGGAAGATGCCCACCCGTCGGTGTAAAATTGATTTTGAAAAATACCATAGAAATTTTGGAGGTTCGAAGCATCAAGTTCTTGCAATTAAAAGACGGAAGCTCGCGATCCAAAAAGACTGAAAGTTCGTGATTCAAAATTAATTCAAGAATTGACCACCGAAACTAGGTAAAAATTCGAATCATGTATTCTTGATATAACATACACGTGAACATATAAATGATCTTGTTTATTGAATTAAATATTTTTTTTAAATTTCTGGGTAATTCTATTTTCGCATTCTAATAACTGGTATAAAAGCAATCTAGATCGTTCACGTGCTTATTATTTCTTAATTTTGATTGCATGTTCTAGTTGAGAAATGCTAGGAATAATTTATTATATGTTGATTGAATAATTGGATTATTTTAAATTGAGAACCAACTATTAGTGGCCAATTCTTAATTGTAATTCATTATTATGAGTCTATAACAAGATAGGAGGATTACGACTCCATCATCTTAATATAATTTTCTTTTAAATTAAATTCAAAATTGTGAGCTTACGGAACATGAGGCTTATGTAATTATTTCATTTATTGCAATTGTTGGAATTGATAGAAGATTGAAGGTCAAGACGACAAAGAATACAATAATTACAACAACAACAAAAAATCTTTGCGATAGCCACAGTTGCCGAACGCAGCAAGCAGCAGCCGAGTCCTATTGCTGTTTAGGCTGAGAATTTAGATTAAATATCAATTTTGGGTCCAATTAGTTTTTAATTTAATTCTTAAGTTTTTTTAATCACAAATAATTGTTAATTTTATGTTTTATAAGTACTTTAAATTATTGTTTGAAATATTTTCCATTGAGATATTATGACATATAAATTTATTTATAACATCGCTCGTGATACTATGAATATGATGCATATCATTGAACGTCAATTTTTTTGATTACTTTAATTTAAATTAATTTTTTCAGATGAAAAGATTGTAATAATTAAACTATATATTAATTTGATTAATTTAAATAGTTGGTAATTATTTAAATTTTTTCTTGATTAACTTAATTTAATTTAAATTATTTTAGATGGAAAATTCATAATAATTAAATTACATATTAATTTGATTAATGTAAACAGTTGATAATTATTTAAAATTTTTCTAATTAATTTAATTTAGATTAATTTCTTTTTGGAAGGAAATTTGTAATAATTATTTTGTATATTAATTTGATTAATGTAAACAGTTGATAATTATTTAAAATTTTTCTAATTAATTTAATTTAGATTAATTTCTTTTTGGAAGGAAATTTGTAATAATTATTTTGTATATTAATTTGATTAATGTAAACAGTTGATAATTATTTAAAATTTTTCTAATTAATTTAATTTAGATTAATTTCTTTTTGGAAGGAAATTTGTAATAATTATTTTGTATATTAATTTGATTAATGTAAACAGTTGATAATTATTTAAAATTTTTCTAATTAATTTAATTTAGATTAATTTCTTTTTGGAAGGAAATTTGTAATAATTATTTTGTATATTAATTTGATTATGTGAACAGACGGTAATTATTCATAATTAAAATTCATTACTTTATAATATTGAGTGGGTGCGATGTTTATTTGAATAAAAATCCATGGTCTCCTTTAATCAATCTATAAGGAAATTAACGCCTTTGCCTCGTACCGATAATGCAATGTACTCCCTATAAGAGAATCGCGTAGTTCAAATTGCTTGATGGAATTCTGTCATGGTATAATTGTCTGGATCATCATCTTGTTTTTCTGTTTCTAAGAAATTATTTCCTGTGTAAGTATCTATAGGCAGCTTCCCTTCTTTTTCTAGAATTCTGATCCTGTATTGTATTTCTTTTATTGTCTTATATATTTTTGTCTATTCTATTATTTGTATTTATTATCTTATCTTCTAATTTTTCTATATTTTCACTATAGTCTTTCTTTTATTCCTAAACAATTATTATATTGGATTTCTAAACACTTTTTACATTGATTTTTATTTTTATATCTCGGTATATTTTACGTATTTTGCATTTATCAATCATTGGTCATTGTCCTCTAATCCATTCATAGATACATTTTTATTCTATATTAATCATTTTTGTATCAAGAATTGAAAAGTCTAGTTCTTCTAAACTATCATAACTGTCTTCAGAACTACTTATTATTCCTAAATTGTCCAATTCTTCTTCTGTGTAAATGCTATAAACTGAGCTACAAGATTCATTATCTGATAATTCTATAAATCATATTGTATTTATTTAATTATCATAGATTTTAGCTATACTTTCTTTGCTTTTATTTTTATTAGGGCATTTATTAGCAAAATGTGCACAGTCTCCGCATATATAACATTTGCAATCTTTTTAATTTCTTTTTCTTTTTAACAAGTCTATTATAATTAGGTTTTTTGCTTTTATAATATGTCCTACTTGGTCTAATATTATACCTTTTCTATTTAGATATTGTCTTTTATATATATTTATTTGATCTCTTTTATACAATAATTCTT